AAGGTTGTGTTATCAATAATAAGTTTGTATTAATTATAAGTAAGGCTGTTTGTATTTATTATAAGTAAGGCTGTGTTATCAATAATAAGTTTGTATTAATTATAAGTAAGGCTGTTTTATGAATAATGGAATTGTATTAAATATAACTAAGGCTGTGTTATTAATAATAAGTTTGTATTTATTAAAAGTAAGGCTGTGTTATCAATAATAAGTTTGTATTTATTATAAGTAAGGCTGTGTTATCAATAATAAAATTGTATTAATTATGTGGCGCCAGGCAGGGTAAGCTTACTCTTCCGGACACCTGTTACCACTGTTTGTCGTGTATTTTGTACACGAGGAGCAGTCCATTTGCTGATTACACTATTTTGCTTGAATACACTATTTTGCCTATAACGTTTTTTAGGACTTCGAATTCTGTCTTATGGTTTGGATTGTTCGTACTTGGTTTTATTTTATTTTATAAAGAAAGCCTGTGAATAAGCTTGTATTAATTATAAGTAATTTACTAAAATAAAGTATTCAACATTGATAAACAGTGAGGGTGGGGGTGACGTAAAATATACTATGCTTAGATCCCGACACTGCATGTGGACTCAACACTTTTATCGATATTCTTGTTGTGTTCGCATATTAGTTTTGAACCATGTTTTATCTTCCAACATATTTTGCCGTAAATGTTGTTTTAATGGTGTTATAAAAATACCTGGAATTTTTAAACCATATTGTTATTCAATGTTTTACAAATTTCATGGTTTTACAAATCTCCTTTTTCTAATAAAAATACCGGGAAATATCCTGGGGATTATATTAAGTGCAGGGAGACCGCACCACACACATACAATTACACAAAACAATAATACGGACAGGGCACAATATACAAGCAGAGCTTGTATGTAATTGTATGACTGTGTCTTTTGACATGGGAGAACGAACTAACAATTCGATCGGGTTTACTTTCGATTTTTTATTAGTCTAAAGCTGCTGATTACATTTTTCTTAAAATATGTAATCGTTACTGCTTATTCTGGTCTAATTGTGTTATAGCATAGCATTTAATTGATTAAAGAAAAAAAAATAAATCAAAATATGACCGGTTGGATTATCTCTTGGCTAGGATTCGACCGGATTAAAAGGAGGCCAATCAAAAAGATTTAACACAACACGTTTATTGGGTGCTGGCTTTGATAGTTTCGGCAAAGGATGCTGAATGGAAATTCACAATTTTTTAAACTGATGTTTTCGTTTTATTGATTCAAATATCACAATTTTGCAAGGGATTCAATATCCCTCATATGAGGATCCCCATCTTTCTTTTTTTAGTACTTTTGGCATACAATGTCCTCTTAGTCTTATATTATGTTGTCTGGCCTTCTGCATCGAGTAGAGTAGATGTCGGGGCACTACTCAGAACCCGCGGTACCTTACTTAATTGGTTACTAAATAAGCGACCTTAAACGATGACGCTTCAAACCATTACAACCGAATTCAAAATATTAATTGGTTTGTGAAATAAAATGGGGATTACTTACTTTTCTGAACCAACAAGGATAATGAAGACGGGCATACGCTATACAGCATGATATGAGGGAAATATTGCTCTAACAACAATGGCGCGACGACCTGCTCAGATTCAGATTTCCAACTGTCAGGGGTTCAATTTCCAATAGTATATAAGAGACCTTGGTTTGTTGAACAACCCGAAGGACTAAGCTTTTCCTTGCCGTGCTCGCTAGCCTGGAGGTCGGGTGTTTGATCCCTGCATTGGCCGAGAAAGTTCCTCCAGATTTTCTGGCGTGGTTCCCCTTTGTCAGTGATGCAGGACGGAGGGTACGACAAGGACAGCTGTCTAGTCGGTCGGATAGGACGAAAAACCGAGGTCCCGTGTACATATTGGCGTGTACGTAAAAGATCCCTTGACAGTTACAGACAAAACAGGGTGTGCACAACTCAGAACACTTAAAATTCCAGCAGTTTTCCAGGAGTTATTTACCAGATTCCAGGAGTCCCTGTATATAATAATTCTACAGCATAATGTATTTTTTTACCCTTGAAAACATTGTTCAGCTGACTCGAGTCCTTTTACGGCGACGAAATCGTGCACTTTTGAATAAACATTCGATGACAACGTCCAGTTTTATATCTTAAAATAAACAGCGAAACCACACTGTTAATTTTCCAGGAGTTTCAATGACTAATCTTGTTTTACCAGGATTTTCCAGTATTGGAAATTACATTTTCATTTTTCCAGGATTTTCCAGGACTTTCAAGGAATGTGAGAACCTTGCAAAATGAAGCTCGAGTAATCATTATTATTGAAGTAAGTTTGCAAAGTCAACAACAGTTTAAAGATATTGTTTTCCAAATCAGTTTTCATTGGCAAATGACTAGCCGGTAGTATTGAAGTTATTGATTAGGACTCGATTAGGCCTTCAGTCAGTTTCCCAGCAAAACGTTTAGGGGATTTTTATTTTTTTATTAACGATAAATAACTAGCACACAGATTTGATAATTCACTCAGGAAAACACAAAATTCACGAACAAAATACCTCCAACCAATAAAGGGCAATCGAAAAAACAAAATGGTTGTTGAAAAGTTTCTTAGAGATCAAAAGGTCGTATAAAAATATCTGCTTCTTCTAAACAATATAAAAATATGGCCGCCAGTTTTTATACCCGTCATCACACGGCAATAAACCATTTTCACCAAATCACCGCTAAATTGGATGAATTTCTTGTCAGATTCTCAGGAGGAAAATAATATAAAGTGATTGAATTTAGAAATTGCACCGTGTGATGTCGGAGACGAATTTAATTTGATTTATAAAAAGTTGTCTGAGGAAATTTATGTTGTGATTAACTAATCAACTCGGGATGAATTAGGTTAACTTATAAATTGAACTGTTAGGCCCGTTTGACGCGATTTATCTGAAAACATTTCCTCCGCTTCTGTTTACACGAATTCTCAAATTTAACCGAGGATATAAATAAAAATTTTCCTTTTTATCACTCATATTTAACATTTTTATATAAAACTCAGACCAATTACTATAACTAACGAAATAGTTCTCCTTGCATTTGCATGTCGATATCAAGGCCTGAGACCTATATCACCATAAGAGATTATTGGATTCCTGTTTGATTCCATATCATTACCATCAACGCTTTGCGAAAACGATAGGGCCTTTATTTGAAAACGGTTCTCCATTCTTAAAGGTGTCGAGAGGCGCCTAAACTCGTTACTTATGTTAAGCGCGCACCTGAAATCAGTCTGAAGTTGAATACCGTATGATATTTCATATTTTCATTAAGACCACAGTCTACGCATAGATTTTAAAGATTTTGCCCAAATATTTAGCCGATGTTTATGATGAACAATCCAGACAGTTACACAAGTATTAATGGCGATCACTTATATAAGACAAAGTGTTGGCAAGAAAACTCATTAATTAAACCATGTGCAAAACAGCATCGGATTTACCTTACATAATGTTCATACTCGACCCCCTTCCATAGAAACATGGCGAATGTAAACATTACTACTCGTCTGCCAGCATAATATTGATTAAAATACGTCATCATTGATTATCGTGACGTACACTCATTCTCTACGCCAAAATGCACGTGCATGACGGCATGTCAGAAGTAATTAAAATTATTAGTGTGGTATGAAGATGATGAGTAGCTCGCGCCAGATGATAATTATATTGAATTATAGGCAGAGTGGGTCTGATGGAGTGGGTCTGATGGCGATTATAGCAAAATTATTTGTTCACAAAAAGACAAATATTTATTTTTAAAGAGGGATGTAGCCTATGTAAGCGACATTTAAAAATCATATCTTAGAAGGTGTTTCCTATTTGCATTGGCTGGCTGGGGATATACATATACGAAAAATGCATATATATCAGGAATTCTGGAGTATATTTGAAAATTTAGAAAGGGGGATGATTACCCAAACCCCCAACCCCAACCCCTGTAATGTCTAACTCAACGTGTTAAAGTTTCCGACCACCTCAACCGGCCTAAAATAGACTCTTCCATTTTAAAGTTGGATGGCCTAATCAATATGGAAATGATAAATTACACATTTCAGATCAAAGTAAATAGTGAATGAATAATTATCTTTATGGGAAAATTTAAATAAATTAAAAACACCTTATCTATTTAAGTTTGAGAATTTATGTATTTTAAAGAAAAACAATAGAATTTTTTTTTTTAAAAAAAAGAACCCTAAAAACAACCCACCTCCAAATTGTTTATTTATTTATTCATTTTTAATTTTTTTATCTGAATTTAATAAAAGCAACACGGAGAAAATTATGGTTGAAACATTGCGTATATTAAATTCAGTAATTGAATAATATTCCATAAAGTTTTGTATTTTTTAATATAAAATTTCGCGGTCTTGGAAACAATATTTATTTTTTTGTACAGTCTAAAATAGAAACGAAATAAATGTGTGCTGGGTGTGATGAAAACGTGCGAATAAGTGTGCCTCCCGATAATTACAGCTCGTGTTAATTCCACTTACGCACCACTGGTCAATAAGCTTTGAATTTATTCAAAATTTATTTATTTATCTAATTAAGAAGCTCTTGACGATGGTGCTAAGTTATAAACGATTGCATTTTCCCCATTTGGCAACACCCATTGTTTTCTTGATGTCAGAAAACATTTCGCTCCTTTATCCAGTATCAAGAAACGATTATATCGACTTCAATGTCAATAATGGATCGTTATAAATAAAACGTCACCACTTTATGTGTACAACGTGATATATCCGGTAACACGAGGTGGGTCCTTAAAAACTGTGACAATATGACATGACGTATTATACAGAAGTGAAAAAACGGCATAAAAGATGAAGTGGTTTGTTTTGTCATCTCCCTCATTCATCTTGTTTATAGAATTAAAACACGCCTTCTACTCTAAATCTCTCGAGACGAATCACATCCAATGAGAGAGGAGTATTAGAGATGACTGCGCGTGAGCTATGGCGGACTAGTAGTAAATCTGTTCGTGTAGCATTGGGTATAATATTTACTGTACCGTGTTAACTAGACACCGTAGACTTGTTGATATTCCTGATAAATCTCATAATATTGACGATTTAGGTGACTCGCTGTGGATGAAAGCGTTAATCCGACTTAAACCCAGTTAATCCACTGACCCATCATGGCGTTTAATCCATATCTTCTGCAGCGCTCAATGGACTATACAATGGGCAACTTGTTTCTCCCGAACCCCTACCTCCCTCCTATGCATCTTCATCCCCAGGGATTAACCGCTCCCTTGCCCAAATTATCCCAGATGTTCGATAGAAGTGGTTTCGTACCGAGTGACACTGTTTCTCAACCCTTTCGTCCCTATTCTTGTGCTGATAGCGATGCCGATGTTACGGACGACCCTAAAGTTGAATTAGATGCCAAGGAACTGTGGAATTCTTTCCATGAATATGGCACAGAGATGGTGATTACAAAGTCCGGCAGGTGAGTTGACTTATTTATTTGGGTTTTTTTTTTCAAACTTTTAAAATGAATGTGCAAAAAGTGTTGATTTTTGTTTAATCTCTAATTTAAATCTTAATTATAGATTCACATATAATATAACTTAATAACTCAGATTTATGCATCCAAGCTGGTTAACGACTCGCCAGATGAAAAAACGTTCTATAGATATACATAATACTCTTAAAGTCAAATATTTAAAAAACACTTTTTGAGAACACATCTAGATAAATTTTAATCTATTTTATAGTCAAATTTTGTGTTATTTTTATATTCTGTGTAGCGTTTTGAGGTATTAGGCAAAACGCTATATTAAGAATAAATCTTTTTATATAATTTTGCATCTTTTTTAATTAATAGAATTAGTCTGTATAATATATAATTATTGACCTTTGACCTTTATATTTTATTTCTACTGAGTCTATTATTTCTAAATATCACATGTTTTGTGATGAACATTAATATTTTATAACGATAATTAAATCTCCTAAAGTTCAACCCGAATATTAATTATTCTTCAAAATAACACTTTTTATCAAGATAAAAAGAAATCCTGTCTTCAACTTAAAAGAAGAAAACGTCATAGATTTAGGATAAAAGGGATTGCACTTATGCTAGTGGAAATAATTTGTCGTCATTAGCTAGCCTTTAATCATACCTAATTTTAAAATATGCATATTAATTTACTTAAAATACTCTAATTACAACCGTTGTTGGTGGAATACACTGTCGATTGTTTTTAGTTGTTCTGGTTTATACTGGTTTACCCCCCCCCCCCCCAACACACACACACACACACCACCACCACCACAAAAAAGGGACCAGTATATATAAACGATTTTCTTGTCATTAATTAAATCATAGCCCCAGACAGATACACGCAGGACCATATTTCTTTTGTGAAATTCTTTATTCTTAGTTTCAGTATGAAATTTAATGTAAACAATGCTGTTATTGTTTAAGCAAGGGTATTTAAAAACATCAACTCTTTATGAAGAAAGAGAATGGGCTAGCATGTACGAAAATGTAGCTTAACGCCCGCTTCAAGAGAGGTGATTTCACAGAGAGGGAAAAAGCTAGTACAATTATCATTACTCTACTGTCTAACATACTTAGAGATGGCGGTGTGAAATCGATATAAATCAATATTAAAAGGTCACAACCGATCGATCTTAATTCTTTTTGACCAAAATGTTGTTTTATGTGTGTTTAAAACTTAAACTATACTATAAGATGTTGGTGCTTTGATGTGTTTGCCGTTTTATTGTCTTTCGTCTCTTTAATAATTGTTACCGTATTCACAAAAATATTACCACTGCTTTCTCATTCAATATTTGGGGCTTATACAAAACATTAATACTACTACAATGTTATATTTGAGAATTTAAATATATATAACATCTATTAATACTACTCCCTCATGTAATGTTTGCTGGTTATACAAAATAAATTTATATTCCGGAGCTTAATTATATACAAAATGTGGGGCTTTTATTAAATATATTAATACTACTATAATGTAATACTTTGGGGGGGGGGGGGCGAACTTATATCAATATATTAATAATATTCATGTAATATGTGGGGCTTATATCAAATATATTAATACTACTACAATGTAATATATTAATACTATTCATGTAATATGTGAGGCTTATAAATTATATTAATACTACTACAATGTAATATATTAATACTATTCATGTAATATGTGGGGCTTGTATAAATATATATTAAGACTTCTCTTGTAATATTTCCTGAGTTTAATAATAAACAAAATATTATTATATTAATACTACACTCTCATGTAATATATCGGCGTTTAATTATAAACAAAAAATATTAATACTACTCGCTAGTGTAATATTTTGGGACATAATATATTGATACTACTCTATTATGTTATATTTGGAGCTAAATTATACACAAAACATATAACTACTTACTCCATGTAACATTTAGGACTTAATTATATACAAAACATATTAATACTACTCTCATCCAATATTTGGGAGCTTATTCTATACGGAATATAAAAATGCATCCTACATGTAATATTTAGGTCTTAAATAGATACAAAATAGTGATACTACTCAGATGTAATATTTGGGAGTTTAATAATACTATTTATAATAATACTCCCTCGTGTAATATTGGGGGCTAAATTATATACAAAACATATTGATACTATTCCCGTGTAATATTTGGGGATAAATTACATGTATATACAGAACATTGATACTATTCTCAATATATCACTGTAAATAGAATACAAACATAAAGCAGAGACACGTGCGTTTCTTTTGTGATTGTCTGCATCAGTTTTGATTTTAAAAGCATTTCCAAGCCTCGAGTTCACAAAGCCTTCTCAGACTTCCGTTAAGAATTTGGTCAACTTTCAATCACAGTTTAAGAGAAATATCTTCGATCCCGAAACGCAAAACTTTGCACATAGTTTCTTATTGATGCATTTGATACATTTAAACACAAAAGGTTTAATAAAGGGCTATATTTTAGTTCAAATTAGCGTCGTCTGTCCTCCGGTTTCCTCCCACTGCTAAAGACCCCTACGCGCAAGCGAATCATTGACATAAAATTAAACTATATGTTGGTCCCGAAATGACCTAGTTTGTGTCGATTGGACGTTACCCCCCCCCCCTCGTGGGCGACATGTTGCACCACTAATATTAACAAACTGCGTTTTACCCCAACATACTGGAATACAGTACAGATAAATACAATGAAAAGTAATTCTATTAAAGAATCATTCAACTATGACTTAGCGTGTGGCCATTTTAAGTTAACGTTAGTTTTCATTTATTTCGCAAAGCCAGGAATCTTAGACTAATGAAGTACCTTCCTTCCATGCTCCTTGTAATTTATGCGCTTGAAACCGTTTACAAATTCTGAAAACAAACCCGCAAAACACCGGAGGTTTTGAAAAAAAAACCAGACAAAAATACAATATCCGTTCCATCTTGGTATATTATCTACCTGTACGTTTCACCTTTCAACACAGGTGAAAATATTCACGGCATGTGTAAATTATATTTTTACTGGTGATAATGGCTTCTGTCAAATGATACGCATTAATATATCTCTCGCTATCTGGTATCACGTGGGTAACATCTACACTACTCGACCTTACTCTGTATATACGAGGGATGGATGGCCGAATGGTTAGAGCGTGCGCGCCGAATCATAAGGTCCGTCATTGAGTTAACTAGCGTGGATTCGATTCCCCAGGTGTACGTGACAAGGAGTAAGGTCGCCTGTCCAACCTCGTGGGTTTTTTCCGGGTCCTCCGGTTTCCTCCCGATGCCAAAGACCCCTACGCGCAAGCGAATTATTGAAATAAAAAAGTGAACCATATGTTAGTCCCGAAATGACCTAGTTTGTGTCAAGTGGGTGTTAATCCCATCTCTCTCTCTCTCTCTCTCTCTCTACAGATAAACATAGCTAGTATATTATAAACGTAATGGCGGGGGTCATACACGAGGTAGTGGTGGTATACTTACCCTTTCCAGAACAATACCCGACCTTACTCTTTATATACAGATAAAGATGGTTACTATATTATGAATGTACTGAGGGACGTCATGCACGAAGGGTATACAAACTCTTTCCAGAACACTTAATGCCATCTCTCATACACACCACTGTACCTTTAATAGATTTTGGCCAGAATCACAACACCACAATAATAACCCCGATTCTTATATATATTGTTATACATGAAAGAGAGCAAGACCAATCCATACCAATTGGCAGCTATTAGAGTGAGGAGATGACCCTTACTAAGGGAAGCTATTGTAGCAGTTGACAGGGAGGAGGGCCAGTCCTGATCAAGATGGTAGCTGTAGTAGCTGACAGATGGAAGAAACAGTCCTTACCAAGATACCAAGATGGTAGCTATTGTAATAGTTGACAGAGAAGTGTGGGTGGGGGGGGGTCCTTACCGAGATGGTAGCTGTAGTTGTTGACAGAGAGGTGGGGGGGGGGTACCCAAATGGTAGCTGCAGTAGTTGACAGATGAAGGTAAATCCTTACCAAGGCTAGATATTGGTATTGTAGCTGTTGACAGATGAAGGTAAATCCTTACCAGTTGACAGATGGAAGAAACAGTCCTTACCAAGATACCAAGATGGTAGCTATTGTAGTAGTTGACAGAGAGGTGGGGGGGGCCTTACCAAGATGGTAGCTGTAGTAGTTGACAGAGAGGTGGGGGGGGGTACCCAGATGGTAGCTGCAGTAGTTGACATATGGGATAAACAGTCCTTGCCAAGGGTGAGTATTGTAGTAGTTGACAGAGAGGGACGGGGAAGTCGTTACCAAGATGGTAGCTGTAGTAGTTGACAGAGAGGTGGCGGGACAGTCGTTACAAAGATGGTAGCTGTAGTAGTTGACAGATGAAGGTAAATCCTTACCAAGGCTAAATATTGGTATTGTAGCTGTTGATAGAGATGAAGGTAAATCCTTACAAGGGTAACTATTGCAGAAGATAACAGAGAGGATGGAAGTCCACACCAATGCTAGATATTGTAGTAGGGATAGTCCTTATTAAGTATAGCTATTGTAGTAGGACAATCCTTATTAAGGATAGCTGGACTTCGTGAATGGGGGGGGGGGTGTATAAAATTCATAACGGACCAATAGGTGTTGTGTCGGGTTTTTGAAATTTGTAAGCATACGCTGCCCAGCGCAGGTCAAACAAGGTCAATTTTTCTGGACTATTATATGGTGAGAAAGTAGGGATATTTAAATCTTTAAATTACAACTCCCCTGGTTTATTTGCTTTGTAGGGGTTTCGCGTTCAGTTTATCCCCGCGGTCAAATCATTACAAATTACTCATTATATAATCAAAATAAACAAATTAGTTAAGAATTCGTTTCGTTTATCTTAACCGGTCATTACATTTATACAGTAGAGCGTGTAATTATTCCGAGTTTTTGCGTAACCGGTTCGTTGACTATATCGTTTA